AAGGTCTTGTGTAAGATCTTGGGTACAAAAATGTCCTGAGATCTTGTATCCATTTTTTCAAGATCTAGTGCCAAATCTTAACGTAAGATCTTGGGCAAGATCTTGGTTTCAAGATGTTGGACTAGGGTACCCAATTCGTAGTGCTAGGTATTTCCACACAAGCTCGCCCACTTTATACAAAAGTTTCAACGGGGCGAATCTTACTATGCTCATCAGATAGAGCATGTCAAGTTACATATAAATCGAAATTCTTTTATTGAAAAAGATTAGCCCTTTAGTGGTGAAACAGTGCTTTCAAAAGTACCAAAGGATAGCACTATGCTCTTTAGAAAATGGTATTTTCGAGAGAAAAAAAGGTTATCGTTTGCTTAAAATAAAAGACAACGTATAGACTTAATAAGCTTTTTGTGATGTCAGGCGAATAGTCCGGATGTCAACGAATCGTATGTACGGTGAGTTGAAATTTTAAGTTATTTTGATCGAAATATAGACAAGACAAATCTCTGTGGACATTTTTGATGTTAAATGAGATTTTCTCTGTAACAAGGCAAGCTAGAGAGTTGCCGTTTTTATCACATATTCTGGAGAGCAAATGAAAAAAAGGGTAAAGGGTTCGGCTCTAACGGATAAACGGTTCCGTAGTTATAGACCAAACGATTTTCAAAATCTCGGTGGACATTTTATACAAAAACCAGATTGAATACATGTTTCATCCTGATTTTCGGGTGGATAAAAAAACTCTAAAAGATTTTCTTTTTTATCCAAAATGTAGAGCTTTGTACGCTCTATCTTTCTGAAAACTTTTCAGGGTTCGCCACTAGCATATTAATGTAGTTCTAATCTCGGTGGACAGAATTTTGCAAAAGCGTTTGTAAACAGAGTTTTTTAATAAAACCAGAGTCAAAATATGATTTTATTTAAATTCAAAGTACATATTCTGAAAACCTACTTCAAGCTAAAGGCATAGCATAATCTAACAAGAAAAATTCACTAACTGTTTTCATATCTACTCAACTATTGTTTCATCTAAATCAATAGTGTTTGAAACGAAATACGAACATTTGTTTGTTTAAATAAAACGATGAAAGAAAATATGAGTTTTATTAAGCTTTGAATATTAATTCAATTATTGTTACATAAAGTGCATACATTGTATCTAAAAAGGAAAAACGACGAACACATTAGATAAAAGTGAAACTTCTTGACTTTTACTGAAAAATCGTTTGAAGAGTAAATAAAGGTGACCACTGACTTCTTTGACATCGTACATTTTTATGATTTATTTTTGTTTTGACTGATTTTTCAGTGCAATACCAATATTTTCAAAACAAAATTAAATACGTTAAATTAATAAACATTTTTTATACCGACGACATACACACACGTAAACCAAAAACACAGACATAATCAAATAGGTTTTTAAATATGGCATTGACGGCCGCTCAATTAAGCCTTTGTTTTCAAAGTTACTGGTATATGTGGTAAGTATAAAGACAATACCCGATGATCTCAAGGACCTATTGCAAAACAATTTTGAAAAGAGTTAGTCAATACTTGATACTACTCATTTCCTTTAGCAACATGCGCTCTACTGAACATAACGATTTCCGTTTACTTATGCCATTCTCCTCCTGCAATCACAACTTTTATATCAACGCCTTATAGAAAAAAGCCATACAGAAAATAAAAATTATTTACCAGTAATTAATAGAGAACTGCGGAATAAGTACTTACCAGCGCATAAAAACAAAAAGCCTTCATGATAGTGACAATTCAATTTCTTCTAAGCGGTCAATATCAAGGGTGTAAGCGGTATCAAAAATGCGTTACCGGTATCGGTCAGCAGTATACAGACGTCGTACCGGTACCGGCTTGTCTTGATCATATTTTGCCTAAATACAAATACTTTTTCCTTGTTTTTCTTTACAATTTATCATTACAAATTTATCTTATGTTATCAAAGGGATAAATTAATCTTTTCACTTTGATTATGTATAACTGATTTTTCACAAGGTTTTTTTTTACGAAAACACAATCCAATTCAAACTTAAATTAAGAAGTTTATATAAGGCGACAAAGTTTAAGTGTTGAAATGGAATTTTAGCGGAAGAAATATGTCACAGATGAATTGAATTTACACGACGTTTTTCGAAAAAAGTCATATCATACCGCAAAATACCAGCAATATCGGTCGACTGATTATACTTCATACTAATGCCGATATAACAGTCGGCGTTATAATTCGTATCGGTACCGGTTGCACCTCTGGTCAATACACATGAGAAACACTTTTTATTCAATAATAATGGATGCAGTAATGCTAATACTACGCTCTTTCGAGTCTTTCAAACACTTTTTCAAAATTTTAGCCCAACTAAACCCACATGAGTGGTGGTGAAAGATGGAAAACAATCTGTATTTGAAACATTTTTAGGTGTTTTAGTCATTTCCGATTATACTTTTTGGTTTTTAACATTTTCGAAACTCTTTCAGAAGGTTTTAGGAGAATATTATCATACAGAATGCTTTAGAGTTTAAGAGAGTTCATAAACCCTTTTGGGTATTTGAAAGAGCTGAAAGGGTTTTCTAAAATGATTTAGGAATTCTATTGGTTCACTTAAAATCCAGTGAGTTTTTAAGGACAGTTCCTAAACCATTTTAGACTTAAGGGTCATTTGTAAAAGCCTTTTGCTCTCGTAAACCCTTTTTTTGAATGATGTTAAAATTATTGTTGCAACATGTTTGCTTTACAGAAAAACGTATTGTAACGACTTCGTTTTAATCACTATCTCGAACAACAACAGTTAAATTAAAATAAGAATCCTAATTATAAAACGCATTTTCACAAGCGTTGGTTACCATACATTTAACGCGTTTTAAGTGTCGTTTTTAGCGATTTTTTTGCCCGTGATTAATTAGAAAGAGAAGCAGTTTTATTTACTATCTTTATAAGCAATCTTCACTTATTCCTTTTTAGGCTTACTAATGGCCTCTCAGGACTGATATTTATGGGAGTCAATATAGGTACACGTTTTAATATTTTCTAACTGTTTTTACAAAGTACAAAATACAACGTCGAACTTGTTTCTTCTAGGAATAGCCGCTTTCCTTCTGAAAAAGAATAGTCAGAATCGTCGAACACCTCCTAAGCTTTCGCGGACTGCTAGTACTGCTAGTGATCGCTCTAAATCATCGTTTTCTGATCCATTTCGTCCCAACTCAAGACCCGTACGTACACCATCAATGAGAGGTTCATCACACCGGGTGACCAAGTATGTTCACCCAGGAAGTGCAAGTATGCCTCTTGATAGCATCGCAACGTAAGTGGCTAAAAACAATATCTTTCATTTAGGTACTGTCCGAACCTTACCAGAAGACACTGAACAATTTGCTTCATCTACAATCGAGAGAGTGAATGCTGCTAGGAGAAAATATAACGCTCCACCAGTCGAATTGAGTGATCTTTTGTCATCGATTGCTCAAAGATGCGCAGAAGAAATGGCACGCTCTGGAAAATTAGAACATAGCCCTGCCGAATGGAGAAATATGGGACGACATACATTGGGAGAAAATTACACAGCATCATTTCAATCGGAATTAACAGGTATTATGGGGTACGAAGAAAATCCATTCAATAAAACTGTTCTGTGTTTATTCTAGCGGAAAAAATGGTCAAAAAATGGTTAAGAGAAGCTAAAAAATACAACTTTGGTTCCGACGGTCACCTGGACACGGAAAACTTCACACAACTAGTATGGCGGCAAACACAAGAAATTGGTGTGGGACGTGCGAGATCAGAAGATGGTAATTGGTGGTACGGTGTCGTCATATTCGATCCTCCCGGCAACATTCCCAATACATACCATGAAAATGTTTTTTTTCCACAATACAGCTAATTGTAAAAGAAAAAATTACTTAATGTGTAAAAGTGTGAAGTCATTCGTTTTTTCTTACTTTCAATGCTTTTAAAAATACAGTTCTTCAAACACGGCTACTTAAAGGATCTAGAGTCATATGGGGTAATTCCGGCCACTTGCACAAAGTTTCTTAGTACTTTGCGTATTTCTGAGGCGTTTTTAATCGTACAAGCGTGCTATTGAATATGAAGATGGAACTAACAGTTCTCTATCCGCTGATGTAAAAATCTCCTAAAAATCTCTCTCCGTTTTCGACCAGTGTTCAAAAGGAGACAGGGACCTCCATTCCGGCCGCTAAGCTATTTTGCGTGGGGTAATTTCGGCCGGTCTATACATGGAGTTTTCTGAGACAAACCTCTGCTAATTAACGATAAGTCCTAATCAGGTAGAAATTACACCAGTTTGAAGCTCTTCTTCTCGTCTACCTGTCACACAAATTTGAAATTATTAGCACCTATTCTAAGGAAGTTAATTAAAATACAATAAGACGTGGTTAGATTTCTGATTTTTTCATTTTTCTCGATTTGGTCAGCTATTTTTCTTGGGATAATTCCGGCCGATCCATTCAAATACATGGAGTTTCAAACAAACCTCTGGTGCTTTTCAGAAGTGGATTTCTGATAAAAGATATTCGTCATGTCATCACCTAAAACATATGTGAAAATTACATCTCAATAGCTCAAAATCAGCAGGCTCTACGATCTTAAATATTTTGATGTAACTTTACACATATTGTGGTAATGAATTTACATAGTATTATTAAATATTCTCATTACGTATGAGCAATTGATGAAAAAATTTCTATATATATCATGGACTGTACTCTTATGAGTTGAATAAAAAAATGAGACATGAAATGTGATTAAAATTAAGGAAGATAATGTTGAAACTAGAGTTAGGTGTTTATGAAACAAATATCAAAATACTTACAAAAACTCATTCAAAAATTGATTTGATAGCTTTAATTGTTTAATCGGTACTGTCGTGCGAATGTGATTAAGGTAAATACCTAGCATCGCGCAAAATACGATATCTCTGTCGTACATATAATACAATAATCAACAATTACACATTCTGTATAATTTTTTGTAATAAGTAAAAATTAAAATAAAATTAAATAAGTAAAGTGAATTAGATATCGTATTTTGCGCGATGCTAGGTATTTACCTTAATCACATTCGCACGACAGTACCGATTAAACAATTAAAGCTATCAAATCAATTTTTGAATGAGTTTTTGTAAGTATTTTGATATTTGTTTCATAAACACCTAACTCTAGTTTCAACATTATCTTCCTTAATTTTAATCACATTTCATGTCTCATTTTTTTATTCAACTCATAAGAGTACAGTCCATGATATATATAGAAATTTTTTCATCAATTGCTCATACGTAATGAGAATATTTAATAATACTATGTAAATTCATTACCACAATATGTGTAAAGTTACATCAAAATATTTAAGATCGTAGAGCCTGCTGATTTTGAGCTATTGAGATGCAATTTCCACATATGTTTTAGGTGATGACTAGGGGTTCACCAGCTCACGTTCACGAACTCCGTTCAAATGAGCGAAAGAACTGTTCAAAAGTTCTTTTCGAGCGAGCTGAACGTCGACTTTGGAAGATCTGTAATTTGGCCTAATATATCAAGATCTATCCATAGGACGTAGTTAAAACTTCTCAAGGTCTATTCATAGGGACAACCAGGACCTGTCAATGCCTATTCATACAGTATATCTAGGAGTCCTTTAACCTTATCCACTGGATAAGGTTAAAGGACTTTTTGAGGATGATCACAGAACTATGAAGATGTCGAAAACATTATCTAATCTATTTAAGTCTTTTATTTATTTGAATTCACAAATAAATGAAATTTAATATTATGAAAGTTATTTGCATTAGTACGATACCGTGTAGTCACTGTGTGACTATGTCAGTGTAGCCGCTGAACGACGACGTTCAGTTCGCTCAGAAGAACCGTTCGAAAAGTTCAGCTCGCTCAAAAGAACTGTTTGACCAGTTCAGTTCGCTGATTATAGCGTTTTGAACAGTTCATTAGTTCTGAACGAAACCTGAACTTGGGAAGGTCTAATCATGTCATCAGCGATGACATGACGAATACCTTTTATCAGAAATCCACTTCTGAAAAGTATCAGAGGTTTGTTTCAGGAAACTCTAATTCTAGCTCTGATGAAAGTACTCAAGGACTGAGAGGTAGGGTCGAGTTCCGGTCTGTCTCTTACTTACTCATCTTTAAGAATTAGAGTTAACCACTTAGAGACTAATCTTCCAGATTTTATTGCACGTTTGCACCTGGGTCAGTCAGATCATAGGTTCGGGTCTACCATCTAGATACCAAGTGCCGAAGCAATATATAAAAAAATTGTACTGATGCACGCTTGTGGGACTTTTTGTCTTTCCACTGAAAGCTAAAGGCTCAACAATCATAATGCAATTGTGCTAGACGAAATTATTTCTTATTGTATCCTACAACTCCCAAAGTGCCAATGATACACTTTTAGAAGTGACACACAAAAAGCGTCCAAAAATGCCACCACAAGGTGCCAAAAGCACACTAGAAATGTGTCAGTGATACGGTAAAAGCATGCTAGCAGCACATAAAAAGCATACTTCGGTACACTTTTTCCATGCCATTGGCACAATTTAAGTCTGCTTTTTCTAAAAGTATGCTTTTCCGGGTGCAGATGTTGTATTATTAGCGCTACATGTCATTCTTGTTATGATTGCTCAAATCTCTCAGCAAATAGTAGAGACCTGACAAAAGATGAACAGTTCATATAATTCCGCATATGATGAGTCAGAGTTATACTTTTTTATCGTGACTTTTTTACATTTTTTCTTCATCTTAATCCACTATAAACTGCTTGATTGCACTGAAAATATGAAACAAAAATTGTTTGTTTTTAATAATAATTCTTTTTTGTTACCGGTACTATACAATATTGAACAATAACTTAGCCAACGTAGTATTGAACTTCCTAACAGCCAACGTTTCGCGTTGGCTCGTTGGCTGTTAGGAAGTTCAAGACTGAACTAGACTGTGGAATAGTCGCAAAAAGGTTTGTCTTAAAGGGGTAGATAACCGAAATGTACAGGAAAAACGATCTATAAACTGCAAAAAGGCTTAGTACGCAGATTCCGAAAACTCATAGTGTTCATCTTTCTGCAAAATGTAAGAGAGACATGCTGCTATCAATCGTAAAAATGTGATACGTCGGGTGATTTCGTATTGGAACATCTAACGGAAAAAACGCTGAGACTGCATTAATATGTGTTCGTAAGGATCAAATAATTTATGTTTGAATGTTTCATCATTTTTATGATCGTTTGTATCCTTTCGCTATTGCTTGTTTAACACTCTCATCATTCAAAAATGATTCACCTATACTTTTAATCATTTTTAAAATTTATCCATCTTTCACATTCATGAACATCTTCGACAAAGATGCATCTATGATAAACAGTATAGATATTAACGGGGATTTGTCAAATAAAGCATCTACTTTTCTGCCACTTAGCATATAGCTATATTCTATCAAACGCACATTATTCTCGTTTAAACAGAAAAACAAAAACAAGAGAACGAAAGAAAAGTTCCTTTGGTAGCCTATAACCTTGTGTAGAAATAAAGGAGAAAAATATTTGGTGAAATGTACACAGAAGTCTCGCATACTTTCTCTCGACTTGCAGAAAGCATTCAGAAGTGAAAGTTTGCAATTGTTCGATTGTCTGCATCAGCTCGTCTTACAACTCAATTGAACGAATGTTTGTGTTTGGTGGTTCTTTTATGTAGTAGTGAGTCACAAAACTGGATCTCAGCCAAGACTGAGTCTCCTTTCTCTGATAAGCTTGATGTGATTTTAAACTTATTGCTTTTTCTCATCAAAAGCAGTGACTTTCCTGCCATATCTTTCGTTTTGTCAACCATTAAACAGCATTTTCTTTGTAGAGCAGAGCTTGTCCTTTTTAGTTATTTTTTTGTTTCCAATGGCAAATCGTGCAGTTTTACTTTGGAGATGTATGTTTGGACCGAGGTTATATCAGACATATCCGTCACATACTTCTTCCATATCTTCTCGTCATGAACCGGTAAGTTCTCGTTCTAAAGATCCGTATAGTTCGAATGACTGCATTTTTATTTTATCCTTATAGCAAACCCATTTATACGCGAAAAACATGGCTGAAAGTTTAAGTGACGGTGTATTTCTAGCAGTAAGTGATTTCATGTTTGACTAACACACATGAGGCTGGTAATTTATGAATATTGTTATCTTTTCTCTCTTGTAGTTAAAAGTGACCATTAGCGTATTAAAATATACAGCTCCGTTTTGGTTGACGTATTGTTATCGCAAAGGTTTCTTAACGTTAGATAATACGTATATAACTTTTCGATTATTAGGATGTATCGCAATATTATCAGCATATTTTGTGTTACTACGTGGTAAGGCTTTTTACATTAAATATTAGAATGCATCTCAATTTAGTATATCTTGAGTTATATCCTCAACGTTTTCTCAGACACCGATTGCATATAATTTTAACTCATCTCTTTAGGTATGGGTCGTTTTATAAATCCAGCTTATGTTTTATTTATTGAAGAATATTTTAAAACAAAAAAGAATCCTATACAACAACTAAAACAGGTATTTTTCGAATCATTTTACATAGGTATGCACTGGTGTCGGTTAATCGACGCCGAAAAAAACGATGGTCGGTTTAAACCGACACCGAAAAACTCTCAAACATTGTATTTAAGATTTTAAATGATATAAAGAGTGAGTGCATAACATCTATTCACTATTGTCAAAGAAACATCTGATTTTATCTGTACCGGTGTCGGTCAACCGACAATCAAAAAGCTAAAACCGCCAAAACCAGAAAAAAGCACACACAAGTCTACTACATCTTGACTTAACGAACGCATTAAATTTCTGATATTTGCCCCCTGGTGGATGGAGTATGCCACATGTTTCTGCTTCTGATCATCTATACTATGTCCTGCGAATTCTCGAGTTACATATAGCTATCGAGACACAAAATTTCACAATAATACTAACGCGGGGCCTTCTCCAGATGCCCAACGCTGATTTAAATCATCTTTTGCCTACAGATACTATATAGTGTCCTACCATCTATACAAATTTCTTGAATACGACAATGTTCGGTTTTTTCGATGTCAGTTTAAACCGAACATTTATTTTTTTTCGTATCGGTTTTTCGGTTTGAAAACCGAAACCAGTGCATACCTAATTTGACATTGTCTTCTATTCAGATCATAGACCTAGAATCTACGTATTTTCATATTGATTTCTTATCAAATGTTTTTCAGACAGCCAATCACTACCTATGGGCAAAAAAACGGAATCAACGAAACTTTCACACATTTTTAGGCGTGAAAGATTTTTGTACCAACTTTTACACGTAAACTGAGGCATTTTTACGAAACTTACGTGTCAACTCCGTAAAAGATTACGCTAATTTACGCATAAGCATTGTTTTATATGTAAAATGGTCATCTAACGGACAAGTAGCCTTCGATTTTACGACGGTTTACACGTGCTTACTCGTAAATTTTTCGTAAATGCTCTTATTTTAAGAACCTTATCCCAACTTTTTATGAAAATTTTGCCGATGGGTGCTATAGAAGAAAGATAACACTTTAAGATCTTGATGGCAGACTTTGCTTTTGACTTTTTAGTAATGAGCATCTTAAGTTTATATACATTTTAGGCGTTATTCTCTAAATATGATTTTTCATTATTAAATTGGATGCCAGACTACACAATAGAATCAAAAGCTGTACGTTCATTGCCAAAAATCTCCATAGAGAAAGAAGATCGAGCTGTCTTAGCAACTGAACAAACATTACTCGAACGTCTATTCCATTATCCATCTTTGTTACTTGGCTATGTATGTGTAAGATCGTTTGGTTCAAGCATGATGTTTCCCGGATCACTACGAATTTTAAAACATATGATGGAACGTCCGTTATTGGAAGGAAGAGAAAAATTGATAACCCTTTTCAATGGAAAACGTTACCTCATTCGTACTGCTGACGGAAATAATTTGGATACAATGTTTGTCGATAGACGACAAAGCGGAGGGACAAACGGAAATTTACTTGTTATCACATGTGAAGGCAATGCTGGTTTTTATGAAGTGGGATGCATGCAAACGCCACTTGAAGCCGGATACTCCGTTCTAGGATGGAACAGACCAGGCTTCGGCGAAAGTTCGGTACGTTAAAAAACGAAAAAAGTAAAATTACACGAAATATTAGAACAAAAAAAATTTTCTTCGTATGTACAAACAAGCACTATATATAGACGATGAAAGAATGTTGACTCAATAAGAACTGAGTCAACATTCTTTGTGGTCATGAACACAGAAAAGAGGAAGAGCAAGGAATGTCGGTGACGAGTGACATAACAATAACTTCCTCTAATAATCATTTTTCATACGTGAACAGGTTCATCTTATAAGCCAGTTACGGCTTTGTTAAACGTTATCTGACGAAAAAAATGCTTTTTTAACTAATTAGCAGTATGTATGTCCCTGACCAGTTTTTAGCGTTATAGGAGTTTAGAAGTAACGTTTTTTGCGAGTATATGTAACTGTTTATTTTTCTTCTCTATTTTTATCTCTAATTATGCGTGTTTTCCATTTAGGGTTCTCCTGGTCCTGTCACTGAAATAAATTCAATTGATGCTGTTATGAAATATGCTATTAATGAATTGCATTTTCCTGTTGAAGATATAATTGTATTTGCATGGAGTATTGGGGGATATGCTGCGTGTTGGACGTCAGTAATATATCAAGATATTCGTGGTCTTGTGTTAGACGCCGTTTTTGATGATGTTTTGCCATTAGCTCAACGAGCAATGCCTGAAATGTTATCAACATTTGTAGAGAAAACCGTTCGATGTTATCTTGATTTGAATAATGCAAAATTAGTAAAAATGTACAAGTAAGTTAGTTGTGTCAACTTTTATCTTTTAAATCTTTACCTATGCTATTCTATAACTTAATTTTTGGACGTTTTAGTGGATCATTTTATTTAATTCGTCGAACAAGAGATGAAATAATATCGACAATACCAGGTGTAATTGATTCTAATCGTGGAAATGAATTAATTATTGAAGTGTTAAAATATCGTTATCCATTTTTATATAACGATGAAACCCTACCATTGTTAAGACGTTATATTGGCTCATTAGACACACAAAAGATTCTTTTGTACGATCAATATTGCGGAAATGAAGCAGAGCTAAATTCAACAATTGAAGATTATAAAAGAAAGAATTCAGTTGCATCGTACCCATCACAATTCGGTGAGCTTCGATGGAAAAGAAGACAAAATTACAGTTGTTCTTGATATATCGGATATACACAAAGCTTTTTAGAGCCATATCGAATAAGCGACGACACACACTGCTCAAATGCATATCACAAAGCTTGTTCGAATCAGTCATAAGAAGAATATAGGCATTTCTGAGTAAAATGATTCGATTGAAAAGATACTGCTTGGTTACTGAGAACCGAGCATTTCAACATTTCGACTCACTTTTGAAAAACGCGACATCTCTCATAGTGGCCACTTTGTGCTGCTCTTATCTAGACCCTCCCCTCGATCCATACAAGATAAAGAGCTCCAATTTTTTACATAGATAGAACCAATATTTTCCTTCGATTTAAGCCCGCTCCCTCCCCTCGGGGTCAGAAATGCTCATTTTCGTCCAAAATATTGATTTTGAGAAAAGCACATGATTGGATAGCCCAAAGTGTCTACTTTCTAATGGCATAATTTTTGTGTCGATAGGTTTTGAGCGAGTTTTCCAGAATCCCTACAACAAAAAAAGTGGCTTTTTTACACTTTCGTTGCATAAGCGTACGCATGTGCCGCACATGTTCATTAGATCCGCCATGACCGATAACTTATAGCAAAGTATAACAAATTATTTCACACTTAAACAGTTTTTAAGTAAAACGAATTTAACAGAATCAAAACTTATTTTATTTTGCGTTTTTCTCAAGACCTTTTTAGCTTCAGGGCTTTCGCCACGCATCCTCGGTAACGATACATCAGAGAAAGAAAATTTTTTTGGTTAGTAGATAACGCCTAGAGCTAGGACTTGACAGAGTCTGATTTTTAAATTATGCTTCCATTTTTTTATAGAAATGTGGATTTCTAAGAAACCTTCTAAAGATTTTTCGGATTTTAAAGTTCTCAGTCGTAGTTCAATCGTGGTCATTCCAGAAAAGCGCAGGAAATTGTGTTTACGAAAACTTTTACGCGTTCAGCGAGTTTCGAATAATAACGCGCAAGGTGTAAAAATAAACCGCGGGAAACGCACGTTGCCTTGGAAACAAAGGCTTTACACGCATGTTCCTGCGGTTTATTTTTACACACTCGCACCTTTTTGTGCGTTATTATTCGAAACTCGCTGAACGCGTAAAAGTTATCGTAAACAGAGTTTTCTGCACTTTTCTGGAATGACTATGACTGACTGGGTAAGCACAAGAAATCAGTAAATGAGAAATTCAAAAATCGGGCTCTGTCAACTCCTAGTCATAGGTGTTTATTGCAAAACGAAAAAAGCCCGAGCTCTCTATCATTTACCTGGAATGAGAATTCTTGCACGTCGAGGATCCCTACATTTGGCCCTTCTTGTGACGTCCTCTCACGAACAGTTGCAAGTGGCGCTAAAATAAATTTCATGACTGCACTTTGACGTGGTCAACATTCCCTCAAAGTTTGATTCAGATAAGACCTACCTGGGCTGGAGTATGTTTCTGATCCGGGACAAGGGCCTTAAAACAAACCCGACATCTTGATATGGTCTCATTCTCATATAGTGACCGGTGTCCGATACGTTCTAAACGCATTTTTTCTCTACTTTACAGCCATGCTGTATCGAAATGAACATTTTCATAAAATTTTGAAAACTTCATTAGATACAGGATCTGGAACACTACAACGCCTAAACGTGCGAGCTTCTAATTTGCTTTCGCTCAAATAAAACCTACAGTAGCGAATTTAACTGGAAATGTCATTTTTCAAAATCGATTTTCTCCCATGTCATAAGACGAATTTTGATAATATTTTGGGCAAAACTAGTCGCGACCTTGTTCTGTTACTCGATGAAAAACTTTCGGTGGGCAACGCAACTACTCTCAGTGGCATTTGAGGCTTTGAGTAGCATTGCTCACCGAATTTTTTCACCGAGTAACAGAACAACTGTATGAGAACGAGACCATATTAAGATGTTGGGTTTGTTTTAAATCGAAGAAAAATGTTGGTTCTATCTATGTAAAAGATTGGAACTCTTTATCTTGTATGGATCGGGGGGGGGGGAGGGTCTAGATAAGAGCAGCACAAATTGGCCAATATGAGAGATGTCGCGTTTTTCAAAAGTGAGTCGAAATGTTGAAATGCTCGGTTCTCAGTAACCAAGCAGTATCTTTTCAATCGAATCATTTTACTCAGAAATGCCTATATTCTTCTTATGACTGATTCGAACAAGCTTTGTGATATGCATTTGAACAGTGTATGTCGTCGCTTATATGAGATGTCTCTTAAGCTATATCCAGATAGATATACACTAGATTGGTCATTGTAGAAAATATGTGTGCTTTCATTTAGGTGTCAACTTTTCCTCGATTGATCGTCAACGTTTTACAATTTATTTGGCTGACCAATATTTAGTTAATTTTGATTCGACTCATTGCACACCTCTACCAAGTATGTTTTTCCGTATCCCGACAAGATCTGTGTAATTATGTGTTTAGTCTGATAAAACTATGATTATCATGTGGACATTTGTTGTACATGTGTATGTCTCTGTCTGTGTATATTCGTATTTATTTCTCATTTCTCTTTTTTCTTTTATATATAATAAGAAAATATCTAGCAAAGCATAATTGTTGTTTTCTATCTAGTCGAGGTTTTTATAACTCTTAAAGATGTTAAAAGTTTTTCTTTACGACTGATTTGTTTGTATAGGAAAGAACATGTCTTTGAGCTTACAGTTTCTTCGTGAAAAATCACGAAAACACGCTATATTTATCTGTTTTACTATTTCTGTGTTTGTATGGTAATAGTTTAATGTGAAAACAATAAATATAAAATATTGATTATTTCATATGGATGAGACGTTACAGTTCAGGATTTATAAAGGGTAGTTATTAAATATGTTGAATTGAAAGAGTTAAAGGAGAAGTGAAATCGTTCACGGACAATCGGTAGCCTCATGTAAATACGTTAGAAATACAAATGTATACGAGTTTCAATTAAATATACCTCTACAATAATGAGAAGAAGCCAATTCTTAAATTGTTGCTAAGTGGACAAATAATTTAGTGCAATTCGATCGACGTAAATGATACTAGTCAACAACTCCAGTACGTTAAATGTGCCAATCAACGTTTTCGATTAGGTGGGGAATTCCCCCATCTTGTTCGAAATGAATTACTCACTTAAGAAAAAACAAACTACTCAGTTATCTGATAGTGATAGTCCAAGTACCACTTTTAAAAATGATATCCACTTTCGTGTTTGTTTAATCGTTATCTGTTTCAAAGGTGCACTGAAAATTTGGTTAAAAACTTTTTTTATTATAAATTTAACATATAACTATTAGTATATAAAATCCATGTAAAAAACTATACGAAATAGCATAAAAAATGAGTAAA